GTTCGTTGTACCGTAGTAGCTCTTTTTGTTTGGTTGGTTAAAACAAATTCTCCTCGGGTGACTACTTAAATATTATATTATAGATTCCTCATAGAAAATATATCTGTTGTAGTTCCATTACAGATAATAGTATATATTGTTGTAGTTCCATTACAGATAATAGTATATATTGTTGTAGTTCCATTACAGGCAATAGTATATATATATATATATATTGTTGTAGTTCCAATACAGGTAATAGTATGTATTGTTGTAGTACTATTACAGGTAATAGTATATATTGTTGTAGTTACACTACAGGTAATAGTATATATATTGTTGTAGTTACATTACAGGTAATAGTATGTATTGTTGTAGTTACATTACAGGTAATAGTATGTACTGTTGTAGTACCATTACAGGTAATAGTATATATATTGTTGTAGTTACATTACAGGTAATAGTATGTATTGTTGTAGTACCATTACAGGTAATAGTATATATTGTTGTAGTTACATTACAGGTAATAGTATGTATTGTTGTAGTACCATTGCAGGTAATAGTATATATTGTTGTAGTTACATTACAGGTAATAGTATGTATTGTTGTAGTACCATTACAGGTAATAGTATGTATTGTTGTAGTTACACTACAGATAATAGTATATATTGTTGTAGTTACATTACAGGTAATAGTATGTACTGTTGTAGTACCATTACAGGCAATAGTATATATATATTGTTGTAGTTACACTACAGATAATAGTATATATTGTTGTAGTTACATTACAGATAATAGTATGTATTGTTGTAGTACCATTACAGATAATAGTATATATTGTTGTAGTTACATTACAGATAATAGTATATATTGTTGTAGTACCATTACAGGTAATAGTATGTATTGTTGTAGTACCATTACAGATAATAGTATTTATTGTTGTAGTATCATTACAGGTAATAGTATATATTGTTGTAGTTACATTACAGATAATAGTATATATTGTTGTAGTTACGTTACAGGTAATAGTATGTATTGTTGTAGTTACATTACAGGTAATAGTATGTATTGTTGCAGTTACATTACAGGTAATAGTATATATTGCTGTAGTCTCATTACAGGTAATAGTATATATTGTTGTAGTACCATTACAGATAATAGTATGTATTGTTGTAGTACCATTACAGATAATAGTATTTATTGTTGTAGTACCATTACAGATAATAGTATATATATTGTTGTAGTTCCATTACAGATAATAGTATATATTGTTGTAGTCCATTACAGATAATAGTATATATTGTTGTAGTACCATTACAGATAATAGTATATATTGTTGTAGTACCATTACAGATAATAGCATATATTGTTGTAGTACCATTACAGATAATAGTATATATTGTTGTAGTACCATTACAGGTAATAGTATATATTGTTGTAGTACCATTAGAGTTAAAACCAATATTGTTTGTTTGTTTTTTGTTGAACTAGCTGCTCGCTAATTCTCCCTAATTTAGAAGTGATAGACCAGAAAGAGAAGGTAGCACCTCCAACCCTTGGGTTACTATTTTACCAACAGAAAGTGGAATAGTTTGTTTGTTATTAAACACATAGCTACACAATGGGCAAACTGTGCTCTGCCATCGCGGGTACGGAAACCCGAATTTTAGTGTAAGTTATGCGACTTACCGCCGAGCCACTGGAGGCAAATTGAGATTGACTGTAACATTATAACACGGCTGCACACGCGCACGCGCATATACCCAAATACGCACCTTATACAAAGAAGAAACGGCATAATATGTTAGTGCGAATTTATTAAAAAATAGATAAAAACTATATATTTTTGCCATTGTTTACTTAAAACATAATTTCTTTGAGGGGTAGCCTTAATTTTTAGTGCTATGGTAATTCTGGATTTCGAACTTGGTGAGTCGCTTTTGAATCCATAAAATATTCCCTCCTTCTCAAAATTGTGGGTTCATTATAGGAGTGACAGTCAAAACATAATTTCTTTGAGGGTAGCCTTAATTTTTAGCGCTATGGCAATTCTGGATTTCGAACTTGGTGAGTTGCTTTTGAATCTATAAAATATTCCCTCCTTCTCAAAATTGTGGGTTCGTTATAGGAGTGACAGTCAATCCGTTAGTGTGGCTGGTGGACGTTAGGGTGCTGATAGCTGGCTGCCTTCTCTCAGCCGTAGGTATACAGCCTTCCGAAGCTAAAAATTGAGTTTCGAAACCAGAGCACAGCACAGATAGCCCATTACGTAACTTGGTGCTCAACAACAACCAAAGCCATCTGATTAGAATTTCAAAAGTGAGGAATACAGCAGATAGCGTAAGTAGCTTTGGCATAAATACAATTAATTTTCAACAATTTTTTTTAGATTTTAAATGAAAAACGTTTGCATTTCATCATGCTTTAAGCTTACAGTTAATTTTAGGGAATTCAATGTCAATATGTTTAACTAATAAACAGATACTCATAGTTAAACAGATTTTTCTTTTAAAGTTAGCGTTTGCGAAATTAGCCTAAAAGGAGGGAAAACAATGTATTGCTTAGAGTATTATAAAAAACAATTAACTTTATATTAAATAACAGAATTTTTTGTTTTAAATGAGACCCCTTTTCAACTTTTACTTGAAAGATAGTTAGTGAGCTATAAATCTAAATTCTTTAATGGCAGTACAAAGAAACATTAAAACAAAGAATGATGTTGTCAACTGAGAGACTATATATTGTTTTTGTTGTTTTTCAGAATTTTCGCGCAAAAATACACGAAGAACTATATGCGCATAGCTAACCCTAATTTCGAGCTTATATACTAGGCGTAAGGCAGCTAGTTAACCACTCCCACTAACAACTCTTGTCTGAACATATATTGGCATTTGACAGTCTTTCTTATAGCACAACCATAGCTGCAATGTGTGTGTAGCGCGTTTTTGTGGCAACGAGCCGCAAAACATAAACCTTCTGATTCACAGTGCGAGCACGCTAATCACTAAACTACATCCTGCCCAAAAATGCACTTTGAGCACGTATGTCATTACTTTGGAACGATACACGCCAAACATACTCAGGTTAAACTGTACTGGATTTACTGACTTGTTAATTTTTATGGATCAGTTGAGCAAACTTTTATGTGTTCATTATCATTATCAGGGTATTTTTTTTTTGTTTGTTTACTAATCTCGCCTGTTGTATCTTATAGAATATATCTTCAGTTATATTAGTTGTCACAACAACAACAACAACAACAGTTATATCTATAAAAGTATCGATTTCAACCTTCTCTATAATGAAATTTAAGTTTGTTTGTTTTGAATTTCGCGCAAAGGGCTATCTGCGCTAGCCGTTCCTAATTTAGCAGTGTAAGACTAGAGGGAAGGCAGCTAGTCATCACCACCCACCGCAAACTCTGGGGCTACTCTTTTACCAACGAATAGTGGGATTGACCGTCACATTATAACGCCCCCACGGCTGAAAGAGCGAGCATGTTTGGTGGGACGGGGATGCGAACCCGCGACCTGCAGATTGCGAGTCGAGCGTCCTAACCACCTGGCCGTACCGGGCCAGAAATTTAAGCAGTGTTATAATTCAAGACATCACGACAGCATCATGCAGTTGAGCACAAAGTCTGCAAACAAGAAGTTGCATGATACTGGCTACGAAGAAGTGAAGGAAAACTTAAGTTGAAATTTGAATTGTAGGGTAAAGGCCGTTTTACACGAAAACAACTCGAATAAATGGAGCAATGAATAAAGAAAAAGTAAAAAAAAAAATGCGACTTGAATTAAAATCCACGATATAAAATATAAAAGAGAATCATTACCTGACGTGATTTGCAGAAGTTGAGTAGTCAAACATTTCGCGCAGTGACTTACAACTCCCGGTTAGTAACATTTAACGCCTTAAGACACTCCTCGTATATTTCAACCATATAGCACAACTCACTACTGCTGCTAATAAATGTGGTGAAACATCACGTGAGATTGCATATTTTTCTAATATAGATAGCTTATAACTAATTATATACCAGAAAAAAAATCAAAATAGTGTTACGACAGCGGAAGTCACGTGAATCTGGTAACACGTGATGAGATTCTCGAAGGATCGTGAATTGTCCTGACAACTCTAGCCTGTTCCAGGCAC